GTGGATTTTTTCAGATATGAGGCAAGAGTGGATCTTGAATTTCTCCTCTCTCTCAAAGAAAAAAAAAAGGAATATGTAGCGATATGTAGATTTACAAAGTCAAGAGCATTTTTATCAATCCTGGTATTGAAGAAGTGAAGGTTACCTGTATTTTCACCTGTTTTTCCTGCAATGTCAGGATATTTTTATGTGTATATTTTTTTTTATACATATGAGTATGTATAAAAACAAACAAACAAACAAACACGTACACACACACCCTGTTTCTTGACAGTGACATGTGGCTTTTGAGTGTTGTGATTTAGCTTGGCTGGGTAATTGAAATGGCATCCTATTACCATTTGAAGTAGTTTATTGTGAACTCTCTGAGACGAGGCCTGAGATGAAAAATGAACAAGCAGTTTTTCAGAGGAGACGAAGGGCTGAGTTATGATTTCCACGGCGACTGTTGCCTTCCTCTCATCTCTTCAAAGACAAGATGTCTATATGCCTATATCTCTGACATAAGAGACAGCCAAGCAATGTTTATATACACCCTGACAACATGTCAGGCAACATCTCAGAGCAAACCCTAAAGAGGATATACTTTCTCACTCACACACATATTGTCACTTTAATGACATTTCTATCTCAGAATTGGTACATTTGTAAGAGGAGGAAAGTTATCTTAAATGTACTGTTAATGTTAATGTAACAATACAACACAGTTCTACCCCAAGAGATATGGAGTGTTTCTCTTGATAAAAAATGAGAAAAAGATTTGATTGACAGTTATGATGTTTAGGTTTACTGTGTTGTTTCAGAGCATTGATGCTCATGCACAGCTGTTGTCTCAGATTTATTACATAGCTTTGGAGTCATACTATGTGTATTTCAAGCAGTCCTGAGGTTCAGAATAAACAAAATGTCCTTCTCTAGCAAGGACTCCGAGACTGTCACTTAAACATCACTCTGTGGAGCACTCCACTGCTAGCCCAAACCTGATCTACTCAGAAACAATGCAGCTTTATGCACTGCTCAATGGCTAGGTCAGAGTCGTAAAAACTGAGCTACGGATATGCCTGTGCACATACACACACACACACACACACACACACACACACTGGGGGCAGTGCTGTAGCTTAGAGCACGCTGGTTGCAGGTCACACTGCTGTAATGTGGCCTTGAGAAAGTGCTTGCTGGCTAATTTTCACCGACGTGTTTTTTGCTGCGATGCTGAAGGGTGCTCTCTATATAAAGAGCCATCAATGACCCCTGCAGTCACCTTAGATAATAGTGTCAGTTGCATTTTCTCTCTCTCTCTCTGTCTCTCTCTCTCTCTGTCTCTCTCTCTCTGTGTCTCTCACAGCTTTGCCTTTTTTCAGGTTGTCAACAAATCAACAAATCAGTTGTAGCATTCTTGGTAGACTAACATTCTGTCAGTTAAACTGTTTTTAACAAGCGATTTATAGTTAATACCATAGATTTTTCTGCAGATGGAAGTTTGGACCATATACTCAGAAAGTCTCTGTATATATAGCGGAATCAATGCATTCATTTAAGGTACAAACTAATTTCAAGTCCACTGTTCCTATACTATGTCATTTTTAGAGGAGGCATGATATTGGTTCACTTTTAGTTGAAACATAGACCTTTTAATTGACCGATAACAGACTTTCTTCTATTAGTTTATGCTCATATAAAGAATTGTATGCAATACACACATTCTCTGTGTGGCCCCTTCACACCATGTTGATGCCAAAGCACTTGGCTGTAGTTACAGCTGATGAGTCCAGCCGTGTCAGTTTCCTGTGCAGTAGAAAGCTGCTGCTAACAGTGTGAGTAATCACAGAGGTAGGGCAGCCGTGGACAGGGAGTGCACCGCTGCTGTTATACTGAACAGATGTGGTGGCAAGTGGGCTTCTAGTTCAACTCCTTGGCAGGACACTAAGAGCTATGGACATGAGCCTCTGCTGTACCTCCCTAACTGCTACCCTTGAGAGAAGTGTCCTTGAGAGAAGTAATTAACCCTGCATGGCTCCAGAAGCACTGTAAAATTGCACTTATATTCACCCTTACTTTACTTCAACCATGACAAGTGTTTTAAAAAAACAGCAACTGCTCACTTTAACAGCTGTCGATAGTAGAGGTCACAAAGCAAAGAAAAGAAATTCTGTGAATTAGGCACATGTATACTGGCCATCAAAAGTTTGAGGACTTTGCCTTCTTTCGAAATTTGAATTTTCTCACCATCACATTTAAATTAAGAAAGAACAAATACCTGCAAAGACATTTTAACATAAGGCATTTTTAATATTTTGGGTATATTTTAGGTATATTTTGCAACAGACATCTTCATGCTCATCTTTCTTGGTATGAACAGTAGATTTTGCCTAAAAGACTAGACAGTTTTCTTTTACAAAGTACTGTTAAAAGCACATATTGAAAACCTTTTTGCCCAAAAATGGTTTAAACAAATGAAAGCTTTGAGTGCTGGTCAGTGCTGTCATCAAAACAAGGGGATAAAATGTGTGGGGTTCAGCGTTATTCACAAGGTAGATTAATATGTAAATGCTATATTGTTTAACTTAAAATGAACCTTGACAGTCAGTCTAGATAGTGTAACAGTTTACATGATGAACTTGGTGCCTCACTGTAACCTCCTCCCCAGTGTGGTTGCATTGAATTTTCTGTCCATCTCACTGTTTTCTCATTGATCTATTTAGTCGCTTTAACTGATTTATTAATGAAATAAGAAGAGCAGTTAGAGAGATAGGCTGTTCAGCCTTTAGAGTTTACAGTTTGTTGTGACATGCACTTTGCTTTGATGTGGAAATTCCACTGAACCTTTCAATTAGCATTTAAAATTACAAGTGCTGTTGTCAGGGGTCATTTGTTTTATTGCATTTTATATGAGGTGATTATTTAAAAGGCTCTTGATGTGAGTTTGCACTCTCATCCTTTAATGCTACTTTCATAGGCGCTGGACAGCACTGCTGCCATGTTGTCTTAAAACAGCTGCCAAGAGACAGTTCCAGTGCATAAACTTAATGATTTATTATCAAGTGTAAGAGCAGGAAGTGACTGGTGTGTAATTAAGGACACTTCAGAAAGCCATCAGTAGGCCTGTTACTGTCCTTGAAATAACTAATGTTGTGTTTTGGAGAACACACAGAGACTCAATCAGAGCATGACACAAGTAGGAGTCCTGATATAAAAGTAGTTCTTAAAACCTGTGCATAATAAATAAAAATGGTTTCCAGAAATATTATCTTAAGAAGCATTATGTCACATTCTGATCAATTCTGGCCGTTAGGTGTGGTGTGTGATTTTCTTGTTCTAAGTATTTTAATAGGTCAGAATTTACCAATGGACTGATAACAAGTGTTTATATGGCACCTTTCTAAATGTATTAAAACTCATAGGGGCAATTCTAAAATTTAGTGAAACAAAGTAACAATGAAATGTTAATACATTACAGAAATCAAGATACGATCACGACTTAAGAAAGAGGAGTACAATAAAGGAGTAATCTTTAAATGTTTCTTAAATAATAAAATTGAGTCAATGAGTCAGTTTGAGCTGACATAATATCTAAAGGAATTCCAATCACAGCAAAAGCTAAATCTTTCTTGGCTTTTAACTTAGATTTACAGTCATCCAAATATGAGACACAAAACTGTGGAACTTCTTTCCAAACTCCTAAAAGATTTTACAATCAACAGTTTTATATACTGAGCAATCAGAAATAAGTCTAAAGTAGATAGTTCCCTAAATGGCTAGGATATGTTGGTGGGTCCTGATTTCTACTACATACATAACAAATAAATTACATTGTAGTCCAGGTAGTCACTGAATATTAAGCCTTTGGATGTAATAAGCCAAACATTCTAAAGGGTTAACCTAACTATACAACAAAAATAACTTTGTGCATTATATTTAAATTTATATTTAAGTATTAGGAGAATGCATTATGCTTAGGTAGACTTCTTTTATAAAAGTGGGTTGTATTTAGAGTCTGTACTGTGTAACTAGGATGGATGTTTCCACAGTGTGCGTGTGTGAGAATATGTGTGTGTGACCATCACTGTCTCTACCTGGAAACAAGATACATACACACATGAACACACACACACACACACACACAGCACCTGAGGACATATGCATCTGTCTCACCTCCTTACCCCCTTGCCAGGTGGAGTCAGCACATTAAAAACTCATTTAGCTTCTGGCTCGTTAGATGCTCATTACTAACAATGCACTTTAAGTTTCTAACGAGAGAGCTAGGGTCAGTACACACGCTCAATCACACACAGACACACACTCAAACTGCAGCCGAGAGACGAAAGACAGGGCATGAGTTTTGCGTAGGGAAGAAGTGAAAATGACTGGATGGATGGATGGATGGATGGATGGATGGAAGTCAGTGGTATAGAGATAATTTAAATGAAGAAACTATGGAGTCAATTTAAAATGAACCTTTTCTAATTTGTAGACCACTTATTTCCCTTGAGTATGTGTTTGTGTGTATGTGTGTATACCAGGTTAATGCCATGTTGTGGGGACCAAAACCTGTTTATACACTAGCGTTGTAGGGACATTTCTACCTTGTGCAGAGCTGGTCCCCAAAGTGTAATCTGGTACCCACAATGTAAGTCATTTAATTTTAAGGTGAAGACATGTTTTAGGGTTAGGGTTAAGGCAAGGGTTAGGATGAGGCTAGTAGTAGTTATGGTTAAGGTTTGGCTAAGTTGCAGGGAAATGAATGGAGGTCTATATAATGTCAGAAATAAGCGGGCATGTGTACGTTCAGTGTTGTGCTGATGTGTTGCTTCAGGACTGAAATTTCATCCTGATGTTAAAAAATTCCTTCTGATTGTACAGGTGTCCTCAACCATAGTACTGAATCATGCACTTTGACTCTTTTATGCACTGCAGCAATTGATAACAATGAGTGAACTTTTTACAAATTTATAGACGGTGGTGTAACATTTTGCTGAGCGCTGTGATGTCATTTCCAGACTGCCGTGATATCCTGTTACCCATGATGCTTAAGGAGCTGAGTGGAGCTTTGGCTGATTTTGGGGAGGGGCCTCAGGATGAAAGGCGGAACAGTGTGGAACTACTCAACAAGATACTGGAGGTGCTCAGCCGCAAAGACGTGGTAAGATCCAGTGCCAAGCCTTCATATGAATGCGCTGAATGTTACATTCAATTCAGTTTAATTCAGTTCAGTTCACTGACTTAAATTCACACACTGCAAATATGTAACTGATCAAGATGATATTTACCAAGACACTGCAACATTGACCAATCACTGAGATTTGATTGAGTTGCTTACGATATACCGAAGAGCTAGCGACCCAATCACAAATCCCAAAGTTATTGACTTTCTCTTTTAACCTCTAAAACTATGTGTGCTCAGTTCTGGTCAGTAAGCTTTATTGAGGTGGCCATACTTAGTTACATCATCATCATCATCGCTGCTTAGTCCAGATAGGGTCACGGTAGCAGTTGGGAGAGCAGAGAATCCCAGATGACCCTGTCCCCCGCAACTTCCTCCAGCTCATTCCCGGGGACCCCAAGCCACTCCCAGGCCAACTTGGAGATATTAGAGATTAGTTACAGTACTCTCTTTATCTCTCTTTACCTTCAGTCACTGCTCTGTACTTCTTGATTCAAGACTTTAGAATTGTTAATTTCACTGACTTGTTGACATATTTTAGGTCTGAGACCGATCAGAGACGTTGAAACAATGTCTAACAAAAACTGAAAACTCCGCTTATAAATTAGTGATAATCATTCTACAATACTAACCAGTAATAGTCCTGCTTAATAAGACATTAACCAATCATGAAGATGCTGAGAAATCCTTTAATTATTGTCTTCCTTTTGAGATGTAACTCATTACCTATGATGTAACCCATACACACCTTCTATATACATGTTCTCTACAAACCTGATAGTGCCTTTAATTGCCAGAATGTGTGAGGAGCTCATGCTTTGAAGTCTGGGTAATGCTTCAGTCTCACTTTATGTACTTTGATGATTCTAATGAAGCTTGAACTCAAAGAACACAGATGAGAGAGAGAGCGAGTGAGCGCAAGAGAGAGAGAGAGAGAGAGGCAGAATGAGTGTTGAACTGATGTAATGAGTCAGTGGAAATGGTGAAGAGATGGATAGAGTGATGAGGGGAATTAGTGACTGTTTGTTTAGGGAGTGTGGTGAACAAGATGAACAGATGTCATAGGTTAGTGAAGGAGAATGAGAGAGAGAGAGATGAGAGCCCATGGTGTTCTAATTTAATCAACACGGTAAAGTTTTGCAACTCGTATGAGAGGTATAGGATCGAATTTGATGCAGATAGTGGGTGTATTTGTGTAGCAATAGAATAGCACACAGTTTTATCACCGTTTGGCCCACAGCTCTTAAATCCTATTTGTGTATCTGTGGACAAAAGCGGCCATTCACACGGATTACAGCTCACCAAGGGAAGCAGCGAGACACGGACTGAGAGAAAGCAAGAGATAAGGAGATGGGAACAGAGATAAGCACAGAGTGGAGTTTAATGGAGAGAAGGGGCGGAGGCGAGGCAGTTAGCAAACAGAGCGATGGAGGCAAATCTATTGTTAAACCTAAAAGGCATGTCATAGAAAACTGAACTTTCCTCACTTTTTAAAATTTGATGTTTGATGTAGTATGTAAACATAAAAATAGCCTGTTTTGAATTCATCATATATGTGATTGAACAACCATGAGTACATTTACATATGGCTGTCCATTCAGTCTACAACAGTTTAGCCCACCCATTCACACTCAGGTGTTAAAGAGTGTTGTTACAGCAGGTGATCTGTAGCAGAGCGGAAGATGATTAAACATTCTTGGCTGTTCTTGGCTGCTGAGAAGCAGATCATTGCAGCCTTCTTCAAGGTCCAAACATTTGTAAAATGCCTAAGGGTTTCAGTCCAAGCTTTGCAGTTTGTCCTGAACATCTCAATCCATGCTGTTTTTTGAACCACATTTTTTCTTCTAAGCCAGTCCAAACAGAGGTCATCTACATATGTCAGTCTTAATCTAGCAAAACAGCATGATTAATTCTAAGCTATAAAGAGAGGCTTGGAAATTGTCTTGTCTTATAATAGATGTATTACATTTTTGCTGCACAAATTCACATGAACATTAGAATTAGACAAAAATGCATAGTGTAGGATATGGACCCTTTAAAATATGTAATTGGTTTCATGAAGGTCTCTATTATTTGTATTATGTTTTATAAAACACTGTTATATTTCTTAAATTACTGTATTATTAGTAATGTTGTAATAGCAATAGTAGTAACAGTATTAGTAGTAATAGTAGTAGCGTTGTTGCTATTTTCTTTTATGTTTTGCAAATATATTTTATATCTTAGAGCTGTTTGCCATGCTTTGGCAGCACTGTTTGGGATGATCATGCCAATAAAGCACTTCTGAATCTCAAGAGGGGTTCGTCTCAGTCAGAGAGCAAGAAAAACAGGAGAGAGAAAGTGATGTAGATGGACAGAAATAGAGAAGCTGTGCAAGAAATGTGTGAATGAAATGATGATGAGAAAGAGAGCGGAATGAGGGTAAACAAACAGTGTCAAAGGCCAGACGGTGGTCAGCAGACAGGGAGTGAGGGAGAAGAAGTGACCAGAGGAGGTTGGGGGAAGGTAAGACAGGGTCACTCACCCTCTCTCTCCCCTTGGCATGCTTCTTCTATCCTTCGCTTTTTCTGTTTAACAGGATTCCAGGAGCGTTTCAAATTTCAAATACACACAGGGATCAAGAAAGAAGTCTGAATGGGTCATGCTCTCTCTCTCTCTCTCTCTCTCTCTCTCTCTCTCTCCCCCCCTTTTGCTATGTTTCCTAGGAAAATTTGCACTATGCTAACTGATATGGTATAAATTTTCTTTGCTTGTAAGCTACTTTAACTGCGTTGCTCCAGTGCAAAACTAAAGAAGCAGGCTTCAGGTACTGTACATGTCTTGGCTGATCAGCTGGGGCAAATTGTGTACATTCGATGAAACTATCACTCTAAGATGATCTGATGCTAAATGCTGATACAAACGTGCTGATGCAGTCACACACCTGCTAACCTGAGACTGTTTTTAACTCTACAGGCGTAGCTAACAGGCTATCATATGTCTGTACTAGATTTTAATTAACCAAAATATGTTTATGCTCATGTAAGTCATGTCGATCTCCTGACCAGTGTCAATCCTTCTGTTTCATGACGAGCCTGATTCTGACAACAGATAGCTGGGTGTTTTACATGGCCATATCTAAATTACTCACTCACTCACTCAGTCACTCACTCCCTATCTAAGCCACTTATCCTTCTGGGTCATGGGGGGAGCTGGAGCCTATCCCAGCGCTCACTGATGGCAGGAAACCCCCCTGGAGAAGCCGTCAGCCCTTCACGGGGCAGACACACAGATGTACACACATACACATGCTTAATTTAGCATCTTCAATCAGCCTGTCTGTATGTCTTTGGACTGTGGAAGGAAACCAGAGCATGCGGAGGAGACCCACGCAGACACAGGGAGAACATGCAGAAAGGACCCAGGTAGCCCGGCCGGGGAAATAAACCCAGGTCCTTCTTACTGCGAAGCGACAGCGCTACCCACTGTGCCACCGCCACTTAAAACACAAATTATTAAAAGAATATATGCAAATTCAAAGCTACAGCGCACAGTGCAAGCATGTAAATGTGAAAGTGTTGTGTATAATACAGGGAGTTAGTTCTGAGGAAATTAAAACACTGTGCTTATCAGTGAACCAGTTTTCTCCTTTTGAACTCTACATATAGCATAGCATTCTCTGTAGTGCTGTCACTGATAACACGTTCAGTGAGGGGCAGAGGAGAAAAAGGTAATAAAGTAGCTGCATGCCTCAGCCACACTTCTGACTACTGTTCTCTGCTTCACAACATTCACAGCACTGAGACTGAAACTGCTGCACGTTTTGTTATAATGCAAACAAAAAAACAGAAACACAATAAAAAGAAATTCTTAATTTCAAAAAAGTAGTTCAAATGTTATGAGCTAGTTTGAAGAACAGTTTGGTTGTAGATATATCCTTGAAACCCCCAGCCATCACAGGGATTGTTAAATTCCATCACTAGCACACCTGATTTAATGTAATGAAGGATTGATTGAGCAAACCAGGTATTGGATCATTACTACAAATAATTTCTCAAGGAGAGGTTTGTAAACAGTTGACATGCATTAAATATGCTACGTATTATTTTAATGTTATTTGTGTTTATTCTAATATTAGTGATTTTCTAAGCAATTACTACCCAGATAAACAGCCTTTTATCATAATTTTTAGTATACCAAAATAACAATAAAGAATAAGATAAATAAAATGATATAGGGAAAAGTAAAGTAACTAACAAGGGAATATGTTAAATCGAATGCAAACAGATGTCAATAAAAAGATATATCATGCTGTTCTTAAATTCTATACGAAATGAATTTATAATGAAGTGTAGCTGGATGATCAGAGGTCAGTTTGTAGAGCTTCCACTGCAGTCAGTATAAATTTCCTGTTTTTTTTTTTTTCATTATGATGTAGAACTGATTTCTCAGATATTCAGTATTCATCATAAAAGTACATACCTGAGAAACAATTTCCAGGCTATTTGAACATTGTCTGTTAAAAGATGTGGATACTGTTTGAACAGTGATCAGTTCAAATGGCTGTAGGAGACTCAGAGCCCTTATCTGTCTGTAGCATTTGTTAGAACGCAAAGTGTTGCAGTTTAATTGGAATTAGAATAGCACATTTGAAGACATTCAGAATGCTAGTGGTGAAAAGAAAGAGAGATGAACAAAGGGGGTGAGATGAATATTTTAGAAGATGAGAAGATACAGGTGTTTCTGTATTCTCAGAGCATCCACACACACACACATTTTCAAGCTCTTGAAGTGAGGGAGTTTTTACTGTGGGGATTCTGCATGTACCTGATTAAGCTGTCACACTTCAGATGTGTGTGTGTGTGTGTGTGTGTGTGTGTGTGTGTGCGTAACTGTGTGCTAGAGATTCTGTGGTTTTGAAGTTAGAGTGTGAGATAGTTGATGTAAGTGGAAACCCATATGAATATGAAAATTGAATTTTTCTGTTCTGAAGCAAGAAC